TCATCCCGAAATTCCTGCTATGCGAAATGGACAAAATCGGATAGATATGGTTTAATAAAAGAACAGTTAGGCTACGTACCTTTACGCTTACTACTCTTCTCCTTCGAGATGTGCCTCTGTGTGCTATCGTCAATCGAGAGCTTTTTGCCATTCTTCCGGTAATTCTGAGAACAAGCCCTTCTTGCTTGGAAGAGACAATCGGACATTAACCCTTAGGGTTAGTGCAATCAGTTCCTTCAATTTCACTTACATAAACCTACCGAACTGACCTTCTTCTTCACGTGAAAAACAAAACCCTAATAAAATAAGAGACCAATCCGCAAGGCTAGGGACTAGTGCAATCAGTTACTTCTTTGCCATACAAATGCGGAGATTCTGCTTCTTCTTCCTTTCCAAGCTTGTTGCGGGGAATCTGGGCTCTTTTCAGCCCCTAAGGACTGCTACTTTGATGAATGAAGCCTAAGGTCTTTATTCCTTATGCTACTCCTAGGCTTTCTCCTCTTCTCTTTACAGATAAAAATAGAGATTTTCTCTTTATACTGTGGATCATTTCTTCTCTGGTAAGAAAGAAGTGTGCAGTTAGCTTCTTCTCTCGACCAACTACGGGATGAACGCCAACCCCGCTTTTTTCACTCCTCTCCCTTTGGTCGAGTGGCTATCGCTCCTCTTCCGTATCTGTATATCCGCATCTTCCTCATATGTTGTTTCTATACCTTCAAAAAGGCCTATGATCCACCATACTTCCCCCCATACCCCATATGAGAGGCTGTAAAGAAGCTATATCGGCTCAAAATTAGGACATATACAATAAGTCGTGAACTCCAGAAAGGAAGGAACTAAAGCAAAGAGACCATAGAAAAGTTGAAAGGAGCCCGCTTACCCACTCTCCTTTCCTCCCATTGTTAGGAGCCTCGCCTGATAGATCAATCAGACTACAACCGATAGTGGATCGCCTTTTGCTTAAATAAGCAAGAGAAGGTAGATCTTCAAATAGCTAGTATACGAAAGTCAAGTAGTCACTTCCGTCGTTCAGGAAGAAAGACTTCGCCTAATTCTTTTGAATCCCGGCCCGGTTTTTCCCCACTAACTAATTAGCTTACGACCACTGAACAAACTTGGTTGACGAACATAGTTTATGCGCAGCTAATGTAGCGGCCTGTTGAGCATTTGACAAACTCACACCATCCATTTCAAATAGGATTTGTCCCGTGGACACACGAGCAATCCAACCCGTAGGATTTCCTTTTCCTCTTCCCATTCTGACTTCTGTAGGTTTTCCGGTAATAGGGATATCCGCGAGAACTCTTACCCATATCTTACCATTTCTTCGGAATTGTCCGCTCATAGCACGATGGAAGTGTCCGATTATAGCCCGACGCGCTGCTTCAATGGCTCGATATGAAAGACGACCTGCTCTACAACTTTTAGTGCCATATCTTCCAAAACCAAGTTGTGTACCGTCCGGTTTGCAACCCCTACTACATCTGCCTTTACGATATTTACTATATTTCGTACGTTTTGGATATAGCACGCCCCTTTCTTTTTTGACTATATGAAATCCACACTTTGACACCTAAGATTCCGTAACGAGTAGATACTTCCGCAGGAGCATAATCGATTTTCTGGTTAAATACATTACGAGATGTTTTTCCATACTTTCCGCATTCAGTTCTAGCTATTTCTGCACCTTTTGATCGACCTGAACAACATATACGGATCCCCGTAACCCCCTTTTTCATTACTAATGGAATATTCTTCACTATGTGACTAAAAATGGAACGAAATGATCTTCTTTTGGTCCTCAGTTGAAAAGAGATGTCTTGAGCAATCGGAGAAGCACTTTGATAAACAGATTTGATCTTAACCGATTCAATTAAGGTATTAGTGTTTGTTCTATTAGACAACAAAGATCGCATTTTTTTCACTTCGTTCAAATAAGAGTTGTACCCGTACGGAATTCTTCTGTTTCTCAGTATGATCTCTATCATCATCTCTATTCCCTTTATCAATTCGCCTATCCTACCTAGGTCTATGAATTTATCTATCAATTCCATTACCTTATCCTTAGCCATGAGGTTCCAACATTTTCTCCAACATTGACCTAGGAGTTTTTGTTGTTCCCGGGCATTCTCAAAAAAAAGGTTATTATAGACCCCATCCCTTGGAAAAAAAAAGGTAGCACCGAAGAAAGGAAAGAGCGAGATGGTGGTTTTTGTTGTTCCCGCGAAGCGAAGATCATTCGCTTGGCGAATGAAGTGGGTCAACCTATTTTTGGCTTCGGCCAAACACTTTTTCTCGCTGGTCGAGCTTTCTACAAAAAAAGCGATGCGAGCACGTATTCTCTTATCTAAGCTTCTTTCCTGTGCATTAGCTCCCCCCATCGTAGATGGTTCAGCCACGCCCGGTGCCACGAAATGATTGAGAACTACGACGGGGTCGAAATGCATTTTGTTCTTTGTATTCAATAAGTATTGCATGACCGAATAATTCAAGGAAGAGCGCACTGCGGGGAGGGTCCTTTGTTGTAGATGACTCGTCGGGCCGTCTGAGCGGGACTTCTTTGGGCAAAAGAACAAGAATAACTTCGTTTTTCTGAATATGCCATTTAAAACCCCGGCGTATTTCGGATGCTTGAAGGCCCCGCTGACCCGAAGTGATTTAGAAAGATTCTTCTTTATCGATGGTGATCGGTCATGATATCCATAGCCTTGCTTCTTTTTCGGCCAAATCCTGATTTCGTTTTGCTTCTTCCGATCGTCGAGCCTGATCGACTCGACTCTTTTCCCCGACCCCCGGCCTCTCACTTCGTTTCGTTCTTCTTCTGTACCGTCGCTTGAATGAAGACACCTGATCGGCCCAACTTTCCCCAATTCCCACCGCCGGCTCTTCGCCTTTCCGGGTCTGGATTTTGCGCGTCGTTTTAGTCGTCGTGGTCGACGGGGAAGAAAGAAATGAATGAATGTTCTTTTGGGAAAATGTATAATAATACACCTACCGAGGCGAAAGCCAAAGGTGAGTTTCGTAGGTGGACGTATCGAACCGAAATAAGATCTCAGATTGAGATCTTGATACACTGATTTCCCATAATAATAAATAGAGTCAATGGTGACTCCGCCGTGGGAAGAGCCGCTTCCTTCTTGCTTGATAGGGGGGGCTTCTATTCACCAACGCAGACTAAAAGTGCTCTCCGAACCGTGCTGGATAGTGACCCATCACACGGCTCTCAAACCCAACCTGTGGTGGATCCCGGGAGACAAAGTCAAAGCGCTTGATCCTTTGCCCCATACTTTGAGATGCTCCTCCCCGTCGATCAAGGATTTTGATTCTCGTGATAGGCGCTTTAAGCCGCTATCGTTCGGTTCGGATAAGTTCAGTCAAGTCCCTTCGGTCGGTTCACTCAGGTGGTCTTCCCTTATCTTCCCTAACGTTCAGACTTCTTCTGGTTTGAGATGAGAAAGGAGCACCGGCCGAGCGCCATGAATGAATAAGAAATTGACAGGGAATCAATGATTCTTATTCGACCGAGTTATAGCTAGCAAGATGTCGATTACACACCGGAGGTTGGTAAGAACTGAGGGACAATGCCCCCTAACCTAAGTGGGCCTACCAGCGAAGCAACTGGTACTTGATCGGGCGGGGGGCGGTTTGGTTTCGTGCAACGCCCTCGCAGCAAGAAGAGGCAGTTGTCATTTGAAAGGAAAGGCCCTTTCTATCTTATTAGAAAAGCCTAAACGTCCTTTATTGAAAACTAAAGCCGCTAACGAGCAAGAAAACGGATGCGCTAACGCGCCTTTACTAAGAAACTAATCTAAATAGTTGCCCTTCTTTCTCAAAGTCAACTTTATCACTTCTTGCTTTAGTTTAGTTTGATTGCACCTAGCGCGCTTGACTAAGATAATAGAAAGTCAAGGCTCCTCTCCTCTTTTACGAATCTACAACTCTCTTTACTGAGCGAGACTCCACCCATATCCCTACTAGTGGTTATTCTTTATTTTCCATTCTATCATTTGTTTGACAGCTTAAACTAGGCTCCCCTTTAGATAGGTTTTTGGTTTTTATCAAGATAGGTCAAGGGCGCGTCGGAACGGTCGGTAGCTGCTTAGTCTCATCCGACTTAAATAAAAGTTTCTTTGTACTTATATTTTTTTTCTTTGAAAAAAAAAGAAAGAAGGGGTTAGGCTCCTTCCCTTCTACTGCATAGCAGCGCTAGCAGGTACTACAAGCCCTCTGTCCCACGCATCTAACCAGCTCGCGTGGTTCACCGGTTCCACCGAAAACTCTCATTTGTTGAAGCGGAGCATAGTGCGCTTTAGGCGCCGAGCGAAAAATGTCTCTTCTTTCGTTTCGGGTTATTCATTGATCTGAAACTTAGCACTTCTTTTCTTATTGATTCCAAGGGCGGCGGCATTCTTGAATGAAGTCTATCCGAACCGAATTAGCACTTCTCAGATCAGGCTAGGCCTCTCCAGCTGAGCTGGGCGCCGGGGCCCTGGATGCGCTAGCGATTGGCACATAGGGGAGTGGTTGCCCGGGTTTCTCGGCCTGGTATCCTGCACCTCGCGTTCATGATATCTACATTCAACTGTGCCCCGGAGACACGGTCGAAGCACGCCCGCCCAGTGTAGTGTGCTTCTTTCACGACATGCTCTAGTCCTGGGTGTCTTTCAGTGGTCTTCTAGCCTTAGAATAGAAGAAGTCGTGTCCGCCCCGGACATCCGCAACGTCCTCCCACGCCTTTTTCTATTTAAAATCTGGGACAAACTGAAGGAAAAGACTGACCCATTCGGTGACTTTCGCGGTCGCCCTCACTGAACCAACTTGAATCTGAACTACGATTCAGATCAAGTCTTACCGAAATCGGATTTCCTTTTCGTGCCATATGCGCTTATACTTTTTTTTTATCCCCTTTTTGATTCCCGGTCCAAGATTTGTGCTCGTTTTCTTCCCGGTCCAATATGGTATGGATTTTTTCCCTAATCAAATCACCCTATCACTAGTAGTTACTCCCGATCCGAAGCACCCCTTTTCCATTCATAGAGAGATCCAATCGTCAAAATCAATAAAAAGGCCATCATGGACCAAGATCCAAAGGGATCAATCTTGTTGGGAGGTACTGCCCAAGGAAAGGAAAAGGTGACTTCCGGATCAGGAATAATAAATAAAATTGAAACAAGATAAAATCGTATATCAAACCGACTTCTGGCATCACCGAAAGGATCGAAACCACATTCGTAGGCCGACAATTTTTCTGGATAGGTCGAACTATTGGAAGAAAATGGAAAAGGAACACCGAGTGGGATCAAAGAAACTAGCGAACTGATCACTAAATAGATCAAAATAGGTGAAAATTCGGACATCACCACAGCACACTTCGTTCTTTCGCTCCTTGCTCGCAGAGCGGCATACCGAAAAAAGAAAAGAAGAATTTAGGCCTTTCTAGAGCCCTCTCACGAATTGGATTTGAACCAATCAAGCGACTTGCCTTTTAGTAGATCGTGACTATGATTTGAGATCGCTGAGTTATTTAAGCAATTCTTGATATATTCTATCTATATTATTTTTGAGTCTTTCTTTTTTCTTTTCCTCGTTCCTTCTCTTTTCTCTTTGACTGACTCGCATTCTTTTCGATCTTCTATGTTGGTACACGGAACACCAACCCAATCTCGACAAAGAAAATGAAAGTCGAAGCAACTCCATCCTTAACGGCCTCTATTCCTGACGTGAATGGCCGCTTGATATTAGTTAGGCTTCACTATATAAACAAATATAACAAGCGTGCGAGACAAAACATCAACCTACGGAAAAACGATGACTATTGAGTGCAAGCCCTACACTAGATAGACTATGGGTAGTTCAGGTGCGCTTTTCTTTTTATTAAAGTCAACTATAACGGATGCCGATGTTGCCACCAAGAAAGGGTTGACTTGTGAAAAGAAAGATGTCACCGGGCGTTCTAGGAGAACGAAATCCAATAGTTTGGCTGTTTTGCGTACGAAATTGATCTTCAAGCCCTGTTCATTCACAAGCTACATCGGTGAAGTGAAGGCGTTGGGATTGAATGACAGAGCTTATTCTTCTGAGTATAAGTCTTGGGCGGATATCTGGTGAAGGTGAATAGGGTGAAAACGGAAGGGAAAGTGCAACACTATGAGGCTCCTTGGGCTAGGTCTCGAATGTATCTATCGAATTCTTCCCTAGAGTGGAAGGTAGGCATGAAAAGGAGACTTTGGGTTGGATGAGTTTGGAAGCTTGCAGCTAAAGGTGAACCTCTATTGACTTCATGTTTGAGAATGAAGGTATAGTTTGCTGCAAAAGGTTTTTTCTTTTAGATCATCAAATAGCTACTTACTCTCAGCTGTCGAGATAGGTCCTGCCTCTTCGAGTCGTAAGAGAAAAGGAGCTTTAGCTTGGCTCTGTAGGTTTCTAGGAAGCCAGTGTTAGGGACTTTCCAGTTTCTGGCTTAGCCCTAGCCGACTCTAGCTCATAGGCTCAAGTTCAAGTGACATACATGACGGCCAGTTGTGTTTCAGTACAATTGATATCGCAAGCAACTGGAATCAGTGACTTGACTTCAAGAACCAGACCTTCTAACATCAGATTTTGTCTAAGCCACTTTTCTTAGTTGTTCAAACACACCTTCTCGGTTTGTGTGAGCATGTCCGCCGCTTCTAAAGCTAAAGAGAGGTACGGAATGAGCCGGGGGTGAAGGCTTGCTCTTGGAGTATAAGACGTAGTAATCAAACTTTCCTGAGGGCTCCCCAAGTAGATCAACCTCTGGGTCACCTGCCTCATACCTCTCTTGCAATTCTTGCTGGGATGTTTTCTTTCTTCTGGACTTTTGCCTTCTTCTGCTTTTTGGTTCTTCCTCTGTTAATCTGCTCCAAACACAGTCGTCACAATCGCAGATGTCCCACCAGATGTGGCCTGATTCATCTTTAGTCTGTCGGAGAGGGGTGCCATTCAAGTAATAGGCAACAATAGGAAACTCTAAATCGGCGGCAGGCCGAAGTAAACCCTTTTCAATCAGTGGAGTGACAGTACCAAGCCAGTCTAACTGCTGCAGGGGATCTTCTGAGGAACTTTCACCATTTGGTGTATCGTCAGTAACGGTGTCAGTAACGGTGTTGTACTCCTCTTCAGTCTCAACTGATTTCTTTATCATGGGGGGATCCGCAAGATAGTCAGCATCCGAGGACGCCACTTGTTGCCGTTGATGGCCGTTGCAACAGCACCGGTGCCGGTCATGCTTCAAAGTGGAACAAAACATATTGGTTCTAGTTTCTATGAATCGACAGGAGAAGCACCGCTCAAAGGAACTTTCGCGAAAGCCGGTCATTTCATTTTGACCTTGTTTTCCGAAGATAGCTGAAATCTTCTTTTTTTCAAAAAAGTAGATGAAAAAGTAGACGTGAATTGTTCTTAGCTTGGCGCGCTTGCTTCCCTCTAAAGAAGCACAACCTTAACGCTTTGAAGTCTTAGGTGAATCACTCAATTCTTTCCGTACCGCCCTCTCTCGAAGCAGTATTTCCCTCAGCAGCATATCCAGTTTATTCCGAACTAACATATCTTTTTTCTCCTGAACCAAAGGATCTCTTTTATCCCGCGGATTCCGCTTTTTCCGAATCAACATCTAATTGTTGCTAGGTCAGTCATAGGGTTATTTCCAGTCTAGTCTAGAATCAACACCAAACAAAGCAAAACCTTAACTACGTACAAGATACCTGTGAAAAGCAGCCAAGGAAGGAACCCAAGCTAACGCAACTCTCCGCAAACTAGCTGCAGTTGAAGGCGCTTCGACTTGAGAAGAAGAAGTGGCGAAGGAAGCGACAAGTTCCTCAGATAGGCACGGCCACCACCCATGAGGGGTCCGAAACGACGCTTTCCCCGGGCAGAAGTCTAGCTCAATTTTCAATGTTTAGCAATGCCGATACTGCATCTCGCGCATGCCATTGATTCTGATAAACATCACAGAAAACTTCTGCTTTAAGCTATAGCTAGGTCTGAGCCCCTTTCTAATAAAGTTTCGTCTCTTCTTTCCCCATTTACAGAGGATTGACTAACCCCACGGATATGTTGTCACATTTAGCTCAGCCTGTTATAGCGAGCAAGCAAAGCCTACTTCTACTTTGTTGGAGATAAATCCTTCCCCTAATGCTATTTGATCAGCGGATCATAAATGAGCCCAGCTTCGCTAAACTCGCACCGACCGTTAAATATGCGGTCTTCACGAAAGATTGTTGGCATGCCTCCCATAAGAAGGCTGATAAGGAAACCTATGAGACCGCCTTGTTCTAATCTTTTTCCTAAAGAGCAATCGATTACTATACTAGTGCATGCAAACTGAAATCTTAGAGCACCTTGATCCTATTGAAAAGAAAGGGCTCAGGCGAGAGGGTGGGGTCAGAAGAGTTCAGAGAAGGTTGGATCCGGGAAGGCTTAAGCCGATACCGAGGGTTTTGAAACCGATCTGCAGACGCTGCAAAAGCAAATGAATTCGATTCCGAGATGATAGGTTGGGGCTTGGAAGGCCGTTTTAAAAATCCAGGGGTTGATTAAGCGAGAAGAGGCATATGAAGCATCTGGCTTCGCTTCCTCTTCTTCTCGTGTAGATGGCACTTCTTCTTGTATAGATGGCACCCCCCCTTGAGTCCACCCGGCAGAATCGTATAGACGAGACTACCCTGATGAATCTATCTTCTCTTGCCTCCGCAAAAGCAGCCGAAGCAGCATTTCCTGATACGCATACAGTGGTTTGGTTGGTCCAGAAACAGTGGGATCTTTCCCTACCCTATTAGTAGGGTCCCGTTCTTTATTGTTTAGGGAGTTCTACTGTGTCAGATACACTAGTCTCAGAGTATGGCAACGAACACTGACTTGGTACGAGCTTTTCAAGTGGTGATGCCAGACGAGAACTCCTTTTGTTGTCGAATCGTCGGTTTTAATTAAAGGTGGGGTTGCGCGAACGAAGGAGAATAAGAAGAGGTTCGCTCGGCAAGTGAGGGCTCGGTCTCAATCAAAGGACTAACAAGTTATCCAAACGTTGCTAACAAGCCAAGCTACTTCATATGGTGGGTATCTAACCTCCTGACTCGAAGATTAGGGCTTCTTCCTTTTCTTTTGTTTGAAGCTAGCCAACCATGCCATGAACGGTCGACAAGAGTGCTGCTTCTGTCTTCTCTATATCATGATACCGAAGCCAAGGTAAAAAACGAAGGGCACGAGGGAACAGTTTCCTCTTTTCCCTGGTCCCTAGCATTGAATGATTCTTTCCCTCGGCTGAACAACTATCTTAATCTTAATCAATCCCGGCTGCACATAAAAAGAAAAGGGGGGTGAGTGGGCCTAGCACACTTAGATAAGGCACGGAACTAATAGCAATTGAAGAAGAATAAACAGTAAGGACACTAGTCCCGGGGGCATGCCTAGAATAGGTTCTTAACGTAAGAGCCCTTTCTGCTGAGTGAATATCCCTTGCTTGATGCAATAACCGCAACGAGAGTAACCGGTTCTCAAGCAGGGGATTCTAGCAGCCTTTTTGTCCTACCAGCAGCCTATTCTTTCTTCAAAGGCAAAGTGCGCACGCATATTAGGAGTAGAATTCCCTAGTGATACACTTTCCTAAAGCAAGAGAGAGTGCGCTGTTGATGATACACATTGCATAAGTACATACCATACGGAATCACGAAAGCATAGTGAAAGTCAACTCCATTGTTGGAAGCAAGACCTATTATGCAACTCTAAAGCTAGCTCCTGACTCTCGGGGAGAGGGAAGATCAGAGAGAGAATACCTTCCCTAATATACGAATAATAGACAGATGACAGCTGATATGCGACATAAGCTTTCTCCTAGAAGCCCACTTTTCTAGTCTGTCTCCCTGCCAGTTCTTCTAACTTGGGTTTAAGTTACAGTTTCAGTCCTAATCTAATCCCATCCAGTCCCTTTGAAAAGCAGTATCCTCCCTTAGGCAAGCAGAAAGCACTATTTCCTCCAGTCTAATGGAGGGCTAACGAGAAGATTCCATGGTAGGGTTAAGGATAATAGTAATATAAATACGTTTCATACTGAGCTAACGTGCCTAGTGAGCTAACAGTAGTTAGCCTAACTCATGGATAGCGGTGTCGACTGTGGATAACAGGCATAAAACAAATACCGTGCCTAACAAGACTACAAATCCCCATATGGAACCTATAGAATATGTTTTTTTTACGGGCAAGTGAAGGCGGGAGTCTTTCTCTTTCTAAAAAGATCCAATTGAATGTCCATCTGCAATCAGTGCCATATCATTGTTCATCTGTAGCCTATATATTAGTATCACATTCTTCCTTTAATATCGAGCTACCAGGGGGGCCCATCAGT